GAAACTGAGTACAAAATAATACCTCCAAGCCGAAGCACAAGCTCACTTACACCTTAATGGCATACTTCCTCATGGGGAAATACATATCTTTCTTCTTCTCTTTTAGTGTCTTCAAAGATGACTGAAAAGGACCAAAAACAAAAAAAAAATTAATAAAAATCGGATTCAAAAGAAAAGGTATGAAGACCGAACAACATTATAATTGCAAGTTGCAGCGTCCAATACTGAAGATGAATTAATATTTAAGACAAGTAGCAAAATCACTTCAAACAGACATTATATAATAATTTGACAATTAGCATTTCCCCGACTTGGAATAATTATTTGATGATTAAAAGCTATAACCACTTCAAACTCGACTTTCCTTCTTTAAAGCAAAATAGGCGGACTAATTAGACGCAAATCCAGAAGATACAGGATAACCAGAAGAATATAATTTTTTTCGGAGAGATTAGCAAATCTACAAAATTTGCCAGTGTGTTTTACTACCAAGAACAAAACCATAGTCTAAGGAGTATTCACCAAGATCATAAATACAGAGAATAACTCATTGTCTGGGAAGGATGATTAGCAATTAATGGAAAGAAGTGCAGTCGATAACATAGGGTAAATTACAACCACCCCTGAGGTATGGTCAAATTACGAAAACCCCCCTCTTGTTTGGATAATTACAACCACCCCCTCAACTCCTCAAATTTAGTAGAATCTTCGAGATTATATGGAAGAGTATCACTTTTGTACCCGTTTTATCCCATTCGAACTCTACATTTTGAAGCAAGATGATCATAATATGTGTTTTTTGGCTTGTATATATAAGATTGTGGTGCATCAGAAACTGTATTTTTACACAAAACGGGTACAAAATATAGCACCTTCCAGGAAATCTAGATTGATTATGTTGAAATTGACCCCATAAGGGTGGAGGTGTAAGAAAAAATCATAGTTGAGGGGTAGATGTAATTATCCAAACAAGAGGGGTTTTTTTGTAAATTGACCATACCTCGGTGACGGTGTTTGTAATTTACCCCGATAACATATGCTCTATCAATTTAACTATTTTGGATATATAGGATGGGGATTGAGAGTTGAACACAAATTCTAATACCATACTTTCGAGCCAAAACGGTGTCATGAAAATTGACCTAAAAACCGACAATCAAGCAAAGCTTCAAACACAAATAACAAATTGAAACGACTAATTTTTTGAACTCACGTTAAAGATGGAAAATAAACAATAAAATGGATAAGACGAGTGTCAACTAAATAACTAGTGCAAGCCAAAATGTACATGGCAAAAACTACAGTTAATATCTAGCATTGGGTTAATATACCCGATTCTAATTAAGATGTTAAATACAATTTGGCAACATCAATTAATAACATCAAGTGCAAATAATTTGTATTTCTTCATAACCCAATGGCAAAAAAATGCAGTAAACAAGATTACTATTCCAACACTAAATAGAATATCGAGCCACGACAGTGAAATAAATCAAAGAAGGGAATCACCGAAATTTTACATAAAAAACAATTGCACACCCAAATTAATTTATAAAAAAAAGGAGGAAAATGTGGAATACCTGGTGCTTGGTGAGGCGGCGACGGATGGCGCGTGTCTTTTTAGGGCGGAGATCAAGTGGCAAGAACTTCTTGTTCTTGTACACTTCCCTCAGGGCAGCTTTTTGCTTCTGAGAAATCACGGTCAGCACCTGGGCAATGGAGAGCCTGACAACCTTGATTTTCGACAGCTTGTTCGGAGCGCCGCCGGTCACTTTGGCCACGCGCAGCAACGCAAGCTCCGCCTTCAAATCATTAAGCTGCGCCTGCAGATCCACCTTGTTCTTCTGCCTCAGCTCGTGCACCTTAATCCTCGCTACAAAATCCAGAAATAAAAATGGAAATCAGAACCGTTAACAGTAGTACATCCGATTAAAAAAAAAAAAAGTAATAAATCTAGCATTTCAGTTTGAAATATGAATTACTCATACCCATTTCGAATTCCTTGTGCTGCTTCCTTCCCTGTTTTGGGCGGTGGGAGGCAGGATTTCAAGCTCGCTGACGGTGGGAGAAATGCCGCTGCTCGTCAGTGAAAACCCTAATTTAATTATTTATCTACAGATTTGGGCCTCGGTTCCGTTCAAATTACTATATTGGGCTAGACCTAGAATTAAACCAACAGCCCAATTGTAGAATAAGAAGTTTTTCTCAGTTTTTTTTTCCTTTTCATTTTATTTTGCGTCAATGTATTTTTTTAAATTCAATTAATCAATTGATAAAATAAATTATTATTATTATTATTATTTTTTATTTATTACTAATAAAAATAAAAATAAAAGAGAGAGAGAGAGACGTTACCAAGTCACATGAAGTACAAAATGCAACGTGAAACTAGAACAGAAGAATCTCCGAATCAAATTATAACAAGAACAACAAATTTCAACTTATCATAACACAAAGCACAACAACACAAGCCAAACAAACATATACAACAATCACAAAAAGAAAAAGAAAAAAAAAAGAATTAATCAGTAAGCAAGAAAAAGAGTAATCTGGAGCAGAGTCTCCATCCCATCAGTCTCGTGCTGGTTCGCCCCCGTAAACACCTTTGCAGTAGCCAACCCCTTCGCACCGACATACTTTCCGGTCCCACCCATAATCGCCAAATGCGACTCCCCAGCGGCAGTTCTCAAAACCCCAAAGAAGCTCAAGCTATCAGCATATCCACCGCTAGCAAACATGACCGTGAAAGCCATGGTCTGGCTGGTTCCATCTTCCGAGCTCGAAATGTAAAACCCCTGCGCTTTGCCAACCAATCCCGATCCAAGCTCGTGACCCTCGGTCAACTCGTCGTCGAAAACGGTCATCGTTCCGAACATGAGCTTCTGCAGCGTTGTGCCCGACGGGAACTGGGCGCTGTTCAGAACGGGGAATCCCGGCATTCCTCCTATTATGTTGTTGTTTCCGTTGTTGTTTTGGCCGATGTTTGAGGTGTAACCGCTCAGGCCCGTCAGGAAGGGGATGTTGTTGTTGTTAATTATTCCACCGTTTGCGTTGTTTGTGGGGATGCCGTTGTTCACCGGGAGGACTGCACCGTTGGGTTTGGCGAAGGGGACTTGGCCCCCTACAGCTGGGTTGGCTACTATGCCTGTCACCGCTATGGCTGAGGGGTGGCTGCCCCCTAGTATGTCGTGCATGAAGAATGTCAACGAGTGATCGTCTGGGTTTATGGTGGCGGCCCCGCCAGCTGCAGTGGTTCCTGCACCACCGGATATGGTGGTTCCGGCTCCGCCAGCTACAGTGGTTCCGGCACCACCGGATATGGTGGTTCCGGCACCCCCAGGTACGGTGCCGACAGGACCGGTGGAGGCAGCCTCCTCGTCGAGGATTCGAGCAGAGATGGCGGATGAGATTGCGAGGGCAAGAACGAGAAGGGAGACTATGGAGTTGAGTTGAAAGGCCATGATTGTTGAAGGGGATTATTTTTGGTTTCTTGATGTTTGATGAGATTGAGATATCTGGAAAATGAATTAGTGAGGGTTTATATAGAAAGAAAATATAGAGGATTAAGTAGCAAATTAGAAGGGGATGATCTGTGGAGTTGATGAAAAGGATTAGGTTTTCATGCTTTTTGGAGTGGTTTTGGGTGTAATGGAGGAATAATTATACCAACTAATACAATGCTTAATTAAAAACTAAATCCCCAAACATTATTGAAACTTCATTAGTTTAATCCAAATAAAAGTTTGCATACCTTGCAAACTTTTCTCCAAGCTATAGTTTCCTCTGAGCCCAGAAACACATCAAACGCAAGAAAAAACATCATCGAATCGTGCGATAACAAATTCATCATCCGCGCAAGATTCTCTAACAATGGTTTCCCACGAATCCCAGTCTAAACTCATCTTCCTCTTATTCATCTCCTCCAAAACGAAGCACGCCTCGTCTATTTTCCCACCCCTGAACAAGCCGATACACAGACAACAAAAGGTTTCAATACGCGGAAAATGATTACTATACATCATCGCACGCAAAACCTTCAAACCACCGATGAAATCCTCGACTCTGCAGAAACCATCAACCACCATCCTGTAGGTGGCGGCATTAGGCGTGCACCCTTTTACTTGCATATCGACCAACAGTTTATACGCATCAGAAGCTGCACCTTGTTTGCAGAAATAACCAATCAATATATTATACATAACCACATCCGGTTTGATCCGCCTCTTCTTCATCTCAACGAGCAGACTTTTCGCTTCGTCGATCAATCCTCTCTTGGCAAGATCGGTCAGCAAAACTCCATAGTTTTTGAGGTGCACTTTGCAGCCATGGTACTCCATATCAAACATCACCTTCTTAGCTTCGTCAAACCTTCCGGAAGCACACAGACCTTCCATTAACAAAGCATAAGTGACCTCATTCCCTCGCCTCCCTTTCGTCCTCATATCCTCGAACAATCTTTTCGCCGAATCGACATCGCCCCTTTTACATAAAAATCCAATCTGAGAATTGTAAGTCACAACTGTGGGCTCCACTTCTCTTTCGAGCATTTCGTCGAACACTTTCTTCGCATTCTCCCAGTCCCCCTTCTCCAGCCACATTTTGATCATGATGTTAAACGAGACTGAATTCAACCTGAATCGCAACTTAGGAGCATCCCCAAATAATTTAACAGCATCAGAAACACGATCGTTGTCAGCTAAAACATTCAGGATCGTGTTGAAAGACTGCAGCGTACGCACACAGTTGAATGATTTCCCCATCTCGCTGAAAACCTCGAGTGCTCTGTCCGCCGCACCGGTCTTCCCGTAATGGCGAAGCAATCCAATAAACAAAGGCTCTCCGCATCTTATATCGTGGGTCCGGAGGAAATCCAGAACGGCTTCGACGTCGTCGAATTTTCTGGCACGTGCGAGCTTGTAGGTTAGGGAAGCGTAAGAAGGGTAGTCGTGCTTGTAGCCGGTGTCGCAGAAATCGTGGAAAACAGAGAGGAATTCGTCGGGGTTTTGGCACTGTTTGAGATGAGTGAGGAATGGGATGGGCGTCCGGAGCTGGTTTCTTGTGAGCTTGTGTGGCCGTGGTTTTTTCGTGGGTTTTTTGTGGAGATCGCCGCCATGGATGTGGTTAGATTGAATGTATCTGTGCAGTCGATTGAGCAGCAAGGTGGGGCTGAATCGGGAATTTATCATTGATATAATCAATGCATGAATCTCAGACGAAGAGTGTCAAGAATCGAATTAATCATTTTCTGTAGGATTTCAAACCTTTGTAATTAAATCTTCTGCCAAACGCTCCTCGACGCAGGAGCATAATTTTACTTTTTATTTTATTTTGGTATGTATCTATTAGTTTTTAGACTTTGCCCCCTGAAATTTGAATTTTGTAAACTTTTAGCCCTTAAAAATATTTTTTTTTCCTTCTCTTAATTCACCCCATATTTGAGCTCCCCCACCAAAAAGCCCCTACGTCTGCCCCTGCCTCGACGCAAATTTACTACCGATATTTCCTGCATTGAAAAAAAAAATAGGAATTTTATATTTTTTTTAAAACAAATCACCATTTAGCGTTTTGATCGAGCAAAATGCACGACTGTTCAAGATTATTTAATTTTTTTTTTTAATTCGAATTTAATTTGATAAGTAATAGAGTCGAGTTGGAAACATGAACTGAGCTTGATTTAAAAAAGATATATACATTTCCTATTTCTTTAATGCAGCTTGAACCGATTTTCATAGCTTATCGAATAAATATATGGGTTCAAATTTGGTTCGTTATGTTGACAAACTGAGCTGAAACGAGCTTTTAACAATGGATATTGAATTAAATATCGAGTAGTTTGATTCAATTTGTAGAAATTTTTGATAAGTTAACAAACTAAATTCGTTGGTCGATAGTGTTGCATAATGAAATGTAGACGCATTTGCTAGGAAATAAGAATCTTAATTAGACTGAAGAACATTCCCTACATTATCCTCCATTAACTTGAGTACATATGATATTTATAGTTACCAGAAAACATCATCTTCTGATCGATCGCGTAACTGTGAAATCTGCAGTCTTTCCAGTCGCCTGAGGATGAGAAGAAGTAAAAATCATGGTCGACAAACAAATGATTGCAATAAAGCCATATATAATGGCTGGATTACGCACCAAAAGTCAACTCATCAACTAACTAAGTTGCTAAAATTTACGACTTTGCTACTTGTGTTAAAGAGTGAAAATGACTAACCAGATAGGGGTGTTTGAGTATCGAGATGGTGCTGTCTTTGGTTGCACTGTATCTCGATATTAGAAGCCGAACGTGTGGAATGCTCTTCCAGCTCTCTCCCAGTGCTGGTTTCGAAACACCAGCCTCTCCACCAACCATGTGATTGGTCACCTGAAGCAAACGATACTTGTATTAAATGATTATTCAAACAAGTACGTAAAGGAAGTGAAGAAAAAGTCTTCACTACCATTTTCAAAAGTTAAAGAACTGCACAAGTGCAATAATTAATTACCACAACGGATATATTGTGCTCATGCGCGAGTTCCTTCAACAAGAATCCAGCAGTTACCATTAAGGCATGACCTGCGTATACAGCCCACCACGCGAATTGAAATACTACGTCAGTGTATAATTAGCAACACAATGTTAGCTACTCCGCGCTCTTCAAACTTCTTCGATCTTTCAGTGTACGTACTAATTACGATTGGATTGAATAAATTTTTATACAATCTGAACCTCAAGAAAACGATCTGGACAAGGACAACAGTGTAGAATGAAAATTTTATGTCGCTTTCATGCAAAAAAACAATTGTGTCAATGTAGCAATCGAACAGTGTTTAAAGAACGTATACCATGTGCACCACTGCCTCCAAGAACTGGAGCTATAAGCGACGAAAGTGAGTCAACGATAAGCATCCTGACCTTGTATCCAATCTGCAATTAAAAATTTTCCTCATGACCACCAAATCAAATTCTACATGCTTAACAAGAAGGAAGCATAAATAACACGGAAAAATATAATTCAACAAATTGGATTATATCTTATGATTGAAAAACCTGAGATTTCAAATCACTCATTAACTGATGGAGCATATCCAAAAGGGCGAACATGTCAAATACAGGATGGCATACTATGCTTCTCATTACATGTTGAATTGTGTTGTTTCCCTGAGGAACAAAATGATATTTGCACATCAAAAATCAAAATGTCAACAAAAAGGACACAACATTCAGCAAAGCCAATTATCCACACAGGAACTCCGATTTAAAACTAACGGACTACAGAAAGCGAAAAAAATGTTCAATACTTTTACCTCCGTATTAGTTGGATCTGATGACTGACAGACAAACTGCGCAATTCGTTTTGGTGAAAAGGAGTTGCCCGTGTCAAAGTACATCACTGTGCCCGAATATTTTCTTGCCACATGTGATGCAGCTTTAAGGCAAACCTATTAGTAAAAAAGAATTAGTTTAATCTCCTCAATCTCGAATAGCCGGGCTTAATTTTGAATCGTGAAGGAGACTCGTACTTGAGTTTTACCAGATGATGAAGGCCCAACTAGCTCTGTGACATGCCCCTCACGAAAACCTCCCTGCAGAAGGGAATCAATACTAGTCCAAAGGACAATATCGTCATTCATTCATTCATCTCTACGGTTATATATTTATATCACAGTAGCTGAGGGTGATACCTTTCGTATCCTGTCGAGTGCTTGTTCAGTCGAGCATTCTCTAATAACTCCAAACCATTTGACCACGGCCGACTTTGATACTCTATTATAGATAACACTTGTTTAATTCCCTAACTTAACAGAAACAAAATGTAACATTCAGATCTATTAGCACGGTATTTTCGCCAAAACCAATCGCGCAAGTCGCTAACCTGTATCAATTTGTCTGGTGCATTGCCTCGTTTCGCAAAAGCCTCCAATGCATGAAGATCGTGCACGAGAAAATCTTCAACTGTGTAGAGCATAGGAAGAAAGGTTAACTACAGAAAGAGGAAAACATCAACAAATTCAAATGTTAAAACTGAAGCATCAACATCTATGAAAACTGCTAATAATTCACCCAGAAAAAAAAAAAAGATTTGATTGAACAACAATCGAATACGCATATTCAAAAATTTAGACGATTAAACGGAAAAGCAACAACATAATCTTCTAATAGGATAGACAAATCGGACCGGTAAAAATGCCGCGAGAAGCACTAAATAGTCGGAAAATTGAATCGATGAGCGGATAATCAAACTCCAAAGCTTCTAGAGGCGCCATTTGTTTGTCCAAGTGAAATAACCCTCTCAATCAGTCACATCCAAGCTAAGAGAGTAATCGGAAGAATGAACACAAGTAATTAGTAAAATCCTCTGTTTATTCCCTCCTCTTTGCCTCACTTATTTCTCACTTTACTTTTCTACTACATTCCTAAGCTATGCTAAAATAACTTTAAGGTACTTATAGTATCGGTAATTACAATTACCCTCCTGAGGTGTGGCTGTAATTACCAATACCACAGGGGCCTTAAAGTTATTTTAGCATACATCAGGGCTGTAGGTGTAATATACTCTATCCTTTTTGGGCCAGGGCTGTAGGTGTAATTTACCCTATCCTTTTTGGGCCAAAGTCTAATTGGTCTAAATAAGCGAACGAATGTTTCTCTTCCTTTCTTTTCTCTGGCAGCAAGGAATGTTTTGAATGGGTAATTTATTTATTTTTTAATGTACTACAAAAATTATTATTGCAAATCTATAAAGTACAAATACATTTTAGAAGTGAAATATTGGATCACGCAAACTAAGGCTGGGAAGTTTAGTAATAAATATATGAGAATTATTTTGTCAAGTTCAAATGCCCATGAGGATTACAGTGAAGGGAAGAATCAGATCCCTACCACTTCAAATGAGGTATTAAAATAGATAAATAAATTAAAAACACGAAAATTTCAATAAATATCAACTGCTCTAACCATTTCTAAGGTATCAAAAATAAACAGTTCCAACTGTAAAAAAAACAAAAAAAAAAAAAAAAAAAGGAAATGGCTATATGGCTATATGGTTAATATCCTATCATCAGATGGAGGTCACCTGAGAAAATTCTGGAAGTATTTTTGTTGCTTGCAGGAGTTACGGTTAAAATTACTCCAAGCAAAGCCGTTTTGTTATAAATATTGGGTGGGAGTGGGACCCCAAATCTGCAAAGATGGCCATCTTTCAAGAAACAGTTAATAAACAGAGTTTAGTGAGCTGAAGCCCCTATAAGCCGATAGCCCAGCTACACAGCCCACGTCTTATGCAGTAGTAGCCCTAGGCGGACTAGAAGACCCGTTTTCTGTTTGTTCAGGCAACGTTGGCTTCGGTTTACTTCTAAAGATGTTTTTAGAGTATATAGAACCAAACACAATAACCTGATCAACGAAATTGAAAAAAAGGAACAGAGAGAGTCAACACTCTGAAAATCTTCGGACAGGTATATAATTAAAAGGAAATGAAGATATTAAGAACGGATGCTTACTGCTCCGATTAGTTGCTCCGAGCTAAGTGGGTGAGCAAACCACACGCACGACAATAGAATACTCACCAACTGCATTAACAATCATATATATCATCCTTGTTAGTTGCCTTGAAGAGAGAGAACAGGTGGGAGACTATAAGGGCAAATATGTAAATATTGTGTGGCATTAATTAAAATCAAAACGATTTTTGATGTACCTGTCGAGGGTCATTATGGGTGGGCGAAGGCTAGAGCACCAAACTGCGGATGGTGGTAAGAGATAAAGGACTGACTTATCGTTGCTACCTGCAATACAAGATCATATCAATCGTAATTTTTTATTTTTTTCTAGTTAGGAGAAGAAAATTGATTTCATGTATTTACGAAAATACAAAAAGAACACAAGTGAAAGGAAAATAAGTTTTAAGTTAGAGAGAACTTACAGTTGAAAGAATTGCAATGTCAATGAAGCAATCATTATGCCGAGAAACAAAATCTATAGCCATTAGAAGATTGCCTTGCAAGATCAGACCTATGTACGAATCAACCAGATACCAAATAATCAATATTAGCAGCTGAAATGCAAACTGAAATGCAAACTGATGTATCTATCAGATATAACAATCCATGTTATGTAAAATACATGCAGAAAAATGCAAGGTAACTCATAAAAACTAGAAAATAGTTGAGGATAAATCAATGAAACAGATTATAGATTTTATAGGAACTATGTTAAAATCTTGTAACTAGTCAAAGGAAATTCTCGAAGATAGAAATAACTTACAAGTCTTCAAAATTCAATGGTATTTTATGATTAGTGACTGAAAGACGCATACAAGAAATTGTGTTGGCTTTTCCACTTCAATTACAATTTAATCTATACCCACCTTACAAAGGAATCAGAATTCAATTGTACGAAAAAAGCTATAGAAATACGATGAATAACAGATGGATCGAATGTGTATCTTACCAGTGAAGCTAATCATGCAAGAACACATTGTTGTGTAAAATATCTGATTGTGTATCTCCATGTCATAGCCTTTGAAAAGTTTGTCCTGGAATGTACTTGTGAAGCCATCAAACCTGTTAACCAAGCGAGTAATAATTACGTGTAAGTGCTCCGACCAGAAACATGTAGAATTACTTATCACATTATTCACAGAAGGCTTGCAACTAAAATGTTGTTAGTTAACCAATAAAACACACGAAATCCTTGTCTGACACTTCGTACCAGTACCAGGTCCAAGATTATGAGAAAACATGTAGTACAGACTGTGATAATATTCTGGTATAGCTAGTACAGTAATAATATTTTGTCATACCCAAGATAGCCAATCATCAAGGAAACACCCCAAACTGTGCTTTCGCTTCCTCTACTGTACGGACTAATATCACCTGCAGCCTACATTTGAAAGCGCAAACCTCTAGTCAACTAACTATAAAGTTAAAACTTCATAAACCATATAGGCAATTAACAACATAAATTCGACATGATATTTCAAACACATGTAAACGGACACAGGATATTACATAGATATTTGAAGTTAAAAGTTGAGCATCAAGTTGATTCTCTACTAGAGGAAAAAGAAAAGGAAAAACAAAATAGCATCTTGCAAGATTTTATCTTATTCCAACTCCTCAAGGTAGACATATACCTACAGTATGAAAGAATATTATAACTTCTTCATTTAGGACTAGAGCTTATGGTATTCACTGTTTGATAAGAACTTGAAAAGTGATTCATGGTCACTATCACTGGTGTCGATTTCACAGGTCATTGTTGCACCTTTTTAAAGTGGTGTATGCTTCTTCCATCATTTAACATTCCTACCTGTCAAAACGAACTTTTTTTCTTTTCTATCACTTTCCTATCTAAGCCTAACAGGGATCTTAACAGCATGGATCAGAAAATCTAAAAATCCCAATGAAAAGCAAGAAAACACAAAGTTGTTACATTGCCTAACAGTGTAATCGCTACAAAAATGACCTGTAGAAATTAATGCAGTTACATTTTCATGCAAAACATCTTGTTCAAAATCTAGGGGAGGAGTTATTTTGCACGCAATATTAACAAAGAAGCTCGATATCTAGATACTTGAAAATTGATTACCGGAAATAATATAAATATAGAGCATCCAAGTGTCACTATGAGGGCAAATAGATAATCACGTCCATTGTACTTCTTTTGCATGATTAAAGTGCCCCAAATCTGCACCGAAATAGAAAGGAAAAAAGTAAGACAAGTAGAACTTTGGACATCCTTATGTGTCTGAAACTTCGAATGTTTTTTTATTATAATCTAATTTTAGCATCCCTGAAGTCAGCTTTTACAGTTAAAAAGTGAAGATTTTTTCGGGAAGTTCCATTACATAGAATGGCAGATCTGTTTCGAAATTACTTAGTATTTCTTCATATGGAGCAATAACAAGATTTCAAACGGACTCACCATTACAGGTATCATTTTGGCACACTTTGCCAGCGTTTGCACCGGGAAACTGACGTATTTAAGGGCCTGCAGCAAGTTTATCCAGAAAATTTTCATGTCAAGCACTCCTCCTTACCTCTTAACACATAATATCAAATAGAAAAGGCCAATCGATCAATGTCAAGGTAAATGACAGAAAGTTCCCAATCAATGTTGCCCTTAGGCTGAAAGCATATCATTTTGTAATCATCCTTGCAAGAAATAATACAGCTTACCTCATACTGACAAGTTGTGGTAAGTATATTAGACACCGATACAACACAATACTTGTAAATTGGAGCAACAGGGTCCAGGGCCTTTTTACTTGCCTGAAAAAAAAAAAAAGAGTACATATAATATGAATTAAATAAATAAGAGGCTCAAAGCTCCAACACATCCAACTTGTGCACTTCATATGTTACACTATATTTTGGAACAGTGTCATGTTTAACATGCCAAATAGCATACCAAGTCAAACCGTTTTGTATCAAACCAATCCAATCACGGAATTTTTAACCTAGTGTAGTTCAAACTTCAACTAAACAGTCCAAAAGGAATTCTGCATAAATAATAAGAAAACAAATCAGACATGATTAGTATCAAAAATACCAGTAGAACTCCAGCAGATACAGCAGAAGTGGTGATGCGGTTGCAGAAGACGAGAAACAATGAGTACTTAAAATATTCTTTGTTTGGACCATATGGAACCCTCATAATCTTTTCCTGAAACCAACAAACCGGCAATGTCTCAGAATTACAGAAATTATCCTGATGTGCTAAGAAGTTACATAAAATAAGAAAAGACAGAAAATGCTAAATCAAGTAAGGCACAGATAATTAATTGAACGACACTGCGTGTCGATTTTTATCAAGATAGCTGAAGAGGAAAATAACCATTTATTTGCAAGGAGAAGCTGCTCACAGTATGTTATTTCATCCTTATCCGCTTTAGGGAATATAGATGTCCTAACCTTAATTGACCAGAAACAGGTCAGTTATTAACGTGAAAGGTTCTATGTTAGTACATGAGCATAGGGTAGAAGTATAACTCCAAGTAACTCCTCGAGTAATGGTGTGGTTATAGTCTGAACCGCGTAACTTAACTATGGACACGCCTAGTCCAATGATGATACCATTTCAAACAGATAAGGAAATATGCCACCAATATTTTTTCACCAACAACACGAACTTAACTACCTTAATGAACCCTCTCAATCTTCGACTATCTTAACTACCTTCCAGGAATATCATATTTCGTAATTTAGGCTATCTTAACTACTTTCTCTAATCACAACTAAAGCATTTATGATTCCCAGAGGTTTGTCCTTGCAAGTATTCTACACAAACTGTGTTATACATGGATTTTATAATCGAATTTTCGAAATAGTACATCATAATTCTTGGTTGAGCTTCAGTTAATCATATTTGACTATAATAACATGTTTTATTGAACAGACTAAGTTATTTACAATATTACTTTCAACCACTGGACCAGGTAATCACAAACTATTCCCATTAAACCAATTAAGGAAACAAATCGACAAATTAGTTTCACTGAAAATGCTTCAAATTTCTCTTTACCAACATATCGCATCACGAGAAGGAATTCACCTGCAAAACTCCATAGATAAGAAGTGTGGACATGATTCCAGTGACGGCGAACGCCATTTTGAAGAGCTTATTCTCTTTCATTCCCTGCATCAACTGCGACGGTTGTGGCTCCGCCATTTCCAAATCCAATCATCCGCCGCCTTCCACCACCACTGCCGCTGTAAACCAAATCACATTTTCAATTGTTTTTCCCCCAATCAAATAAATCAACAGAAAAAAAAATATCATTCACCAAAAAGCGCACAGGGACGCAGTAATTCGTTAGCAAAGCATCGATATATATGTACTAAAAGGAGTGAGGAGCGTAACGTTACCAAGAGAAGGAATAACACGCGAGCAAATCGCCGGGAACACGAGGCCGTTTTCCGGAGTGCGAACAGCTTGCAGTGATCTGAAATCGATTTGATCGGCAAATGAAAATATATTTGGGGGTTTCCCGGCGGGTTTTCTTTTTATTTCCCTCTCCGATTTTAATTATACTTTAATAATTCATTTATATTTTGTAATTTATTTTTTATAAGATATGTTTTATTAGAATTTTTTTATATACGTACGTGGATATTGGATAGTGCTTTGGAAAAAATGTCAGATTATGGGGCCCAGGTCAAAGGAATTTTTTCTCAAAGATAAGTTGACTTTGTCAACAAACTACTCCTTCATAATTGCTTCCTTTGAGGCACGGCATTAACCATTTATAATACAATTTTTCTATTTCAACATGATATTTAATTATTTATCTTGTATTTAAGTTTTATTATTATATAGGAAATATGCACATTATATGCATTTTTTTTTGTGGATTCAATGAAATAGATGACACAATAAAGTATAAACTATTGGAAAATACTATTTGATCTAATTTATTTGAGGATCTTTTACTAGTCATAGAAGATGAAATATCTATGAGATTTGAATAATGACACTATAAAATATATTCGAGTTTATTGTAAAAAATACTAGACAAATACGAAATGGAATCATATATAATATATTGATATGCAGAAATGTGTTATAATTGATTGTTACATGTTTTAAAAGTTGACATATATAACAAAAATTATAACCACATATATATTGAGTTTGATATATACAGTAGAACCTTGATAAATTAATACCCGATAAATTAATAACCTCGCTTAAATAATAATTTTTTCCGGTCCCGACTCGGGGACAACGTGCTAAATTAATAATTCGCTAAATTTATAAGATAATACACATTCGAAAATTTTAAGAAGTCCCATATAATATATAAATTAATAATGCATAAAAATAATTCTTAAATTACATGGTAAAGTACATATTTTATAGATCTATGAAGGCCTAATGCAATGTAATTTAATTGTCACTTGTTTCTTGTTGAAGTTCACATTACCATCAATCTCGTCCCTCACTTTTCTTAACATGGTTAGAACTTTCGGTATAATTTTCTCATAACTTAGCATAAAATCGTTTTATTCCATTGTTGCATTAAGAGCTTCCGTTTGTGAAACGGACTCAATAATGCATTGAACTAATGGTACAATGCATAATATACACGTAAAAAAATTAAAAAAAAAATGCATTTATTGAAAATAATAATAAAAGTAATTTTATAAATTAATAAATTATTAATTAATGTATAAATTAATAATTATTAATTTATCGATAAGTTAATATTTCGCTAAATTAATAAAATTTTGATGGTCCCAATTGTATTAATTCATAGAGGTTTAACTGTAATCCACTATTAAACAAATAAGGGTAAATTATGAAAAACCCCTAAATTTGGGCTAAATTATGAAAAACACCCCCAATTATCCATAATTATCAAAATCCACCCCATATTTGTTTATTTTTTACACCGACCTTATGGTGTGATTTTCACGGAATCTTTTTTCTTTTAGGGAATATTTCCCGAGAAATGATGATTCTACTCCTAACTACAGTTCTTAAATGTAGGTGGTCTCGGTATACCTTCTGCAACAACCTTATTTTCTGCAACATCACATTGCAATGCCACTACACTCTCTAGATTGCTAGTGTAAACCATCATAGATATAAGCATTTTTAAAACATTTGTGCAAAGCTGCATTCAATATGTTCTACGTATATATATTTTTCGAGTGCTGAAATAAAAAATATTTCATGAGAAAACACACCCTAAGAGGGTTGGTATAAGACGGGAACAAACATAGTGGGGATTTTGATAATTATGAATAGATAGCAGTGTTTCTATAATTTAGCATAAGTTCATGGGAAGTTTCATAATCTACCCAACAAATAATAAGTAAGGTCTTAAACGAAGAAACAATAACTTCAATTATGAAACGCCAAAATGCAATTAAACCTTAGTAAAATTAAAGATCCAAAGTCACTTAAAAATCTAATTAAAAACCAACCAATGTATGCATTGCCATTTACACCTCAAAAAAGCCCCCCTCCCCAATTTATACAAAATCCCGGACACTAAATAAATAAAACCTAGTTTTTCAACAGAACCTCTGTCGTTTCACCAAAGGAATATACCCATTATTAAAACCCCCATAAGACATCATCATCGGAGAAGAAGACGAAGAACCACCACCACCGTTGCTCAGGCAATTCCCAAACCCTAAGTTACCAGAACTGAACACAGTTGCTGCTGCAGGTTTCTGGGCATAGTAAGCCACGTTCGGTGGCGGTAGTTTCTGACCAAAAACATCATCGCCGCCGTTGATCGGGACCGGAGGTATCTGGAAAGTCTGAAGCTGCGGCGGGTTCCGCCACTTCGGAAGCGGCCCCGCCACGAGGATGTTCTGAAGGAGCGGCCCGGCTTCTTTCACAGCCTGAAAGAACTTACCTTTCTCGGGCAAAGCCCGCCCCTTCACTAGGCTGTCGATGAGATCCATACCCGGATCCGTTTTCTGCACCGACCCGGACCCGGCGAAGAACTGTGCACTGTTGTTGGAGAATTCTGGAGACGAAACGGCGCCGTTTTCGAAGAGGGAGTCGACTACGACCGGGGGCGACTGGTAGTTGTAGGTTGTTTCGGAGGGGCTGTTTGATTCGGTGATGCTGGAATTCGCTTTCCCGGGTTTGGCGGCGCCGCCGCCGCCGCCGAGTGGGGTTTCGCCGTGGAAATGTGGGGACGTGTTTGGGAAGCTGCAGCCAAACGCGGCCTTGTTGTTGAGCAGAAGCTTGTGCACCTGGCTTCTAGCTTCGTCTCTCTCATCAATGGCGAATTTCAGCATGTTGATCAGATGATTCACGTGCTTGTTGCTCGTCTCCATCTCCGCCGCCGCCTCTGCTTTTATTTTCTGCAGTTCCAGCCTGGTTAACAGAAGCTCCTGCTCCATTTCTTCCGGCTAAATTCCACAACAAAAATCAGTCTTTAAATAATAATTTAAATTAAAAAAAAAAAAAACAGAGTATGATCAGTAGTGATTCAGTAATATAAATGATATATATTATGTATAAATATATATATATACCTCTGCATAACCCCACAAAGAATCCATCTCCCCCATTTTCTCTCTCTAAAATCTTTTTCTCTCTCTAAAATCTTGAAATTTTGTTTGAGAAATGAAAAGTGGGCAAGGAAATTAAAAGGGAGTTTTGAGAAGAGAGAGTTTGGTGTTTATATAGACTATATATATAGAGAGAGAGAGAGAGTGATAAAGGAAAGATCAATAAAAAGACAAAAGAAATCAATAAGCTTTACTAAATTAAAAACAACACCTAATTAAATTTCACATTCAAAATCCATTACTCTGAAAGAGAGAAAACTATACTAATATATTGAATCTTCAAAACCTTCCAAATAAATTAAGAAGAAAAAAAAGTCTCCCCTTTACCATTTTTAAATAAAAGTTTAGTGTTTATTGCATTTAGTACCCTCTGTATTATATCAAATTGCTGACAAACCACCACATGTTATTTTATTCGCAAAACCCCCATATAGTTCATTTTTTTAGCCCCTAAATAGGAGGAGTTTTGCAAATAAAATAACATAGGGTAGTTTTTTAGCAATTCGATATAATACAGATGTACTAATTGCAGTAAAGTCTTTCAAATAATTATGTGTTCATTTTAATCTGATATGAAGTCATTGGATTTTATTTTAGCAAAATGAAATTATTATGGGATATTTAAATTTGAAAATATGTAATGGTTTATCTCATTTATAGTTCTTTATCAAATTTAGTCAATGGCTAAATATATATTTGTTTCCATAATTATAATTCCTTGACAAAAGCTTTGTTTCTTTTTTTGAGCCTCTCAAAGGTTACAGTAAAAAGCAAGTTGTTAATCTCTTTACGCGGTTGTGTTAGTTAAAAAAGTTAAGTAGCAACGGACATTCTTTATTATATTATTACAGTTTTATTATAATTAACTCTTCATAATTATTTTTTAACTTTTCCCTGTTCTTTTTAGAGTTAAATGCAAAAACACCCCCTGTGTTTTTCCTAAAGGCCAAAAAACCCCTTGGGAAAAAATAAGTGACTAAAACCCCCCTTTGATTAATAGTCAAAGTCATACACCCCCCTCTATGTCGTTCGTGTCATTCACGCGCTACCAATGTGACTGCTTGTGTGATTTTTTGTGTGAAAAGACACAATTGCCCCTCTAAATCTCTCTTAGTTTTCCTTGTTCCATTTTCAACCAAAAAAAATAAAACAAATAATTACTAAATATAAATAAATTAATCAAAAAAGAACAAAACAAAAAAAAAAGAAAAAAAGAAAATTGGAATTTTTTCCTCCGTCAAACTCACGCCAGCCCCAAATTCATCTTCTTCACTCATCTTCTTCTGCGACGTTGTAATCTTCTTCGCTCATCTTCTTCTCCGACGTTGCAATCGACGTTGCCCAGCGACCGCCGCCGCCGCCGCGAGTTCAGATCTCCTCCAAAGTCGCCGCCAATTCGAGGTCCGGCGAACTCCACTTCGTCGAATTCTCCGACGAATAGCAAAGCTCATCGCAAAATCCTCTCAAACGCAGCTGCCGCTGCAGCCGCCGCTAAGTGAGAGTTGAGTGGGTGAGTCGTGTCTATGTGAGGTATGAGCTGAGAAATTAAAATCGAAAGTGTGCGTTTGCTGTATTTTTTTTTTTCAATTGGAGAAGAGGGCTAAATTGAAAGTGTTAGGGACTGAATTGAAATTTTTGAAAATTCCATTTCAGTCATAAAATTCTAGAGGTTGAACATATCTATCTGGAGGGCTTTTTTGTCTTTTCGCAAGCGGTCAACGGACAAAAATAAAAACGGGTCGAGTGTGCTTGATTGAACACTTGTTAGGGGGTTTTTTGTGACATATTTTTTCCCAGGGGGTTTTTTGGCCTTTAGGAATTACACAGGGGGGGTTTTTGCATTTAACTCGTTCTTTTTATTACCCCTCCTTTTTAGAGGTGAAAATTACTAAAATAGATCTTCCATCATTAACCCCACCACTACTTAAATAGGTATAATTACACTTTGGATCCTTGAAATGTAGTATTTTTGCACTTTGCTCCTTAAAAAAAATGAATAGCACTTTGTTCCGTCGAAACACCATAAATTATTCACAATGCACCATAAATTGGATACCTAAAATTTAATGAAGGTAATTTCAATTTGTATTTGTATTTGTATTTTATTTGGCATATGTCATCCTAAAAAAGCACCACTAAAAATATTAAATTACATTCACTAGCTTTAAAAATTAACTCGGGTGCAATTTGCATAATTTATTGTATATCAAATGTGCAAAGTGCCAAAAAACTATATATTATACACAGCTATAATATTAGTGGCGAAATGTGTTATGGACATGATAAAAAATAGTTACTATGAAAAACAATAGTAATTATTTCCTCACATAAGTAATTTTAACAACATTGAATTTGGTCTATGTTATGATTATTGACATTTAGTTGGCACATATATATAGTAATAATTCGGTGAAAGTTAATTACTCAACTTTTTGTTAGAACTCATCAAATTTGAACTAATATATGTTCAATCATGACCATATTTTGTAAAACTTTATGACATTATTAAACTTTGGGAAATTATTTTACCAAGTACGTAACAATGATGCATTAAATAAAATATAATCCGAGCATATTTCATTACAGATTTTGTATGCTTTCGTATACATATATGCATATATAATTAGTTTATTACAAAATATTACAATATATTTCTTATTGAATATTATTAGATCATTGCGAACCTTTAATACGATCATATCGTTCGGATTTGACTGTTGAGTCCTCATTAATCACATATTTAACAAAGTTTTTATTATCTTTCTTAATTCTAATAGTTAGAATTTCTTCCTATTAATAATTTCAGGTTAAAAATCAACACGTGTCAGGCTTCCTAGGATTTCACTAATTCTATATATTTTTCTTTATTAAACAAATCCGAAAAATGGAATTAATATAATATAAATATCAACTCCTAGCAAAAACAACGAACGTGGATGAGGTCCGATGCATGAACTTTTTATTTTTTTATTTTCTTAATTTTAATTTAAGTTATATATTTCTCCCGACAAGCCGCTTCGGCGCTTTCTTATATTTCTATTACTACTAATTTTCAGCCACAAAATGACAATAACTACAATATTATAATAATTAATATTATAAATTTATAATGGGTGCATGATTGTTCCATACAACTTATCTGTGGCAAAATATTCCTCAAATTTTTAATTTATTAAAATTAAAATATTTCCCTATATATAGATGGTGATACTCATAAATATATTTAATTTCCAAACCGCATATAAGACAAATTTAATTTATTTAATTTGGCTAATGTACAATACAATGTATCTAGCGTCTCTCTCTCTCTCTCTCTCTCTCTCTCTCTCTCTCTAACCAACTGCTTCAGCAGCACACATGCGCATATACTATCCTACGACGTGTTATTCTCAAAGTATGATTAATTAATTATATTATATACGAACTGCGCAATCTAACATCAATTATTCACCCTAATTAATAAATTCATTGGGTGTATATTATAATATAAAGGATCTAGTAATTAAATAATAAATATGTGGATCATTAGCATATTAGATTATAATTGAACATTTTACTTGTAAGAATGAATCTTGGATTATGATCTGAATATATGTTACAAAATGAATACAGATTTATTCTAAAATTTAATCCTCCCAAATCTAAAACCCGAACGTAAAATTATGCATGCATATTTGATTATAAGTAAATAAATTATTATCTTTAGATAAAAATACCCAAAAGACCAAAACCCTCGTGATTTATAATTAAATAAATTGTCATCTACTAGAATGCTGATAATTAATTTCCTTTGATTTTTCTATACTTGTTTAGAATTGATTTGAGCGTTGAAAGTTTTCGTTAAATTAATTAACTATACTGTGATGCTATTAACAACTAGTATAATGTGATATATATATATATATATATATATATATATATATATATATATATATATATACTGGCCTACACAAAAAGTCAAGAAACACATATATAGAACAAGTTGAGAAGAGAAAAGAGTAAAACACATCAAATCATCAACTTCAGTAACTATTTTTAAAGTTAATAATTCAAAATTATTGAATACATTTATTTTACATCTTCATGGTATAAAATCTAGACCATCAAGACGTTACCGCAAACTCTACTCATGTTAGATCGTCGGATAGTACACCGGACTTTGGATCTAAGATCGGCGGTTGTGAAATGATGAATGGAAAATAATAAGTATGAGAGAGAGTTTGAAAAAGATTATAAAGTATTTTTAGCGAGTACTAAGAGTTTTCTTCGAGCAAGCTTCTAAAAAGGCATTGTCTATTCGGACGTTGGGCCCAATAAATCTCTTGCGGCCCATACGTTTTACCTTTATACTATTTAATAAGCTCAATACGAGGGGTTTAGTAGTTTGGCCCAACCTTACCAAACTGAACCCCATCACACACACACACACACACACACACACACACACACACACATATATATATATATTAATTAAAGATTTTAGCATTCAATATTGTATAGATCGAGCTCGACACACATAGTAATGTATAAAATATACATTTCTTTATGATATATGAGCTATTAACTATAGGGGCAATTTGTTATAGGTCCCTCTATAATTTATGTTTGTAAATCCAAGTCTAAATTTAATGTTTTAATAAATTAATAATATTTATTATGGCAAAAATACCCTTAGTTAAATTAAATAAATCCCCAAAAATCTCTCCATCAAAACAAATTCCCAAACATTTATCTTCCAAATATTAACTAAAACAAATAAATTAATTCATAACAAAAATAAACAATTTATTTTACAAACTCATACTCTAAAAACGCCATTGCAGCCCCACCACCGCCTATGATCCGGGAACTACGCACCTATGACTCCTCGAACTGCAAATAGCAAACTGAAAATTAGATTTTATATTATTGAATTGCAAACAACAAAATACCTATGATTTCGCCAAATACAAACAGCAAACTGAAAAATCAAAATCCATAAATTGTATTACTAAATTACAAACAAAAAATTATCTATACTTCGCCAAATGCAAACAGCAAACTGAAGAAAAACATTCAGCAAAACTTGTATTATTGAATTGCAAGCAATAAGCTACCTATGACTTGGCCAAATGC